GTGGCCAATTGTTATTCTGTTACATATAAAGGAAATTAATATGGATACTATGTTATTCTACAAATAAGTTTAAATAGTTTTCATGTTTCTTTCTTTTCTGGGAATCTGACAAAAGCATTTAATTTTGTCAATCCAACAAATGAAAGCGAAGAAAATATATTAGAAGTTTGATACACTTTAGGCAACAACCTGAAAAAAAAACTGGGCAGATTTCCAACTTGTAGCTATTTTAAAAACAGTCTGTTGCTGTGGTTGAAATAAATGGTCATTAGGACTGATTAAAGTCAGATTGAGAGTGATTCAAGCAAGTTAAAAGGAGGAAACCACTGGCCTGTTTTTCCTAATTTATATTACATTGGAGTCCAAGAATTTGACTGGTTAGTGTAAAATGGATTTGCTTACTATTCAGATGGTAAAGATAGTTTTTAGAAAGATTTGCTTTCTGTTCGATAGTCACTCTTTTAATAGTATGCTTTTTAAATAGGGCATTCATTCTGATACGTTTACTTTCTTCCAGTAGCCACAAAGATTGAGTTAAAAATAGTTTTTATTTATTTTATTTATTTGTCAAGCATGTATTAGATAACAGATATAATTAGATATAATTAGAACATGATTATGATTACACGAATAAAAGGGGACATTAAGACAGGGACGGTAGGCATGTTGGTGCACTTATGCACGTCCCTTACAGACCTCTTAGGAATGGAGTGAGGTCAATAGTAGACAGTCTAAGGTTAACGTTTTGGGGGTTTGGGGAAGAAACCACAGAGTCAGGTACTGCATTCCAGGCATGACAACTCTGTTGCTGAAGTCGTATTTTCTGCAATCAAGTTTGGAGTGGTTTACCTTAAGTTTGTATCTATTGTGTGCTTGTGTGTTGTTGTGGTTGAAGCTGAAGTAGTCATTGACAGGTAGGACATGTAGCAGATAATTTTATGTACTACACTTAGGTCAGTTTAAGGAGCAGAGGAAGCAGAGCTAACAAAAAACATTTTGCTGGCCAAAATTGACAAGAATCCACCTTTTCCATGCAAGCTGATAATTCCAGCATCCAAAATAAAGTAGAATTTTTCTCTGATTCTTGGGAAAGGGCAGAGCTCTCATAAGGACAGCAGGCTATCTTAAGGAATAACATTAAACTGCATGGCCTAAATAATTCTGCTGCCCAAAACATTTACTATTTCCAACATTTCAGTATCTGCTATGTTTTTTGTTTTTTTTAAATCACTTCCTTCTGCTTACTGCTAGGAATAGTTCAGAGGTGAAGGATGTCAGGATTCTCTTAGATGAAACCAGAAATAAAAACTGCACAGGCAGTGATTCAAAGAAGCAGGTCTGTGTTAAGAAAACTTTTATTGTGAAAATTAGGAGAACTGTTAATAAAGAATCACAGTGATTGTCAAGCATAAAATGCAAGCCCTATTTATAGTAAAACCAAGGGCCAATTTTTGCTTCTTTTTCTCTCATTGGCATAGACCCTTAGAGTTTTGAGTGGAAGGAATGATTAAAGCTTGCTTCTTGTTCCTGTAACAGACCAGTCTGATCTCAGGCTGTTTGTTTCTGACATTGCCAGAATTATTTCTAACCAACAATCTCTACAATTGCCCTTTGGTTTCCTTTATTAGCATTATAAGGCATGTGGTTTGGCACCCCCTGATTGCTTTGCAAAATGGAGCTCTATCCTAAACAATATCTAGTTCCTAGTAAATAGCAGATGAACAGGAAAATCTGTACCTGCATGATGACATTTATATTCCACTAGCAGCTCAGAGTTCAACTGTTGGTTCCTATATTCTCTGACCTTGGTCATTTTCCTGCAGACTTTTCATAACTAAGGTGATATTATCTAGTTTGGTAGTGAAAGATTTGTAGGAACACATCCACAGTCAGAAAACACCAAGATCACACCACTCAGACTATTGGCCTTCATGGAAGCCATACATAATCAAATAAATATCAACAAGCAACTAGTCAAATCCTCCCTGAATTAACAATTTTCTAGTTTTCTCACCTCTAGAAGAACAATAAAAATGGAATGAATTCTCTAGTTTGAAAGTCTAATTACCAGTTTAGCATTTGTGAAAATCTCACCCAATAGTCTTATAAAAAACTTCAAATACACACAACTACATACAACATTTGCAAAGTGAAGGAAAATACATGTGATAGCTATAACCTTAGCCACACATGTCTCATGTGCCATTTTTAGACAAAACTCATAAAGGGACCACTTATGCCAAATTCTAGAGGCCATATGAAGCAATGAATGCTTTTATGCTTAGGCATTTTTATTTTCTTTTTCATGATATTAAGTAAAATGTGAGCAGGGAATCTGTGAAGAAAGGGCTTCTTTTATTTAGCTGTGGGTCAAATTGAGGCTTAAGGCATAGATTTTGGACCTTCTTCCCATTAACTCCTTTAATTCTGAACATATATTTAATCACATGCCCAAGATCAATTCTTCTGTGTATTTTATAGTATAAATAAAGATATCTTCCACGGAGCTACAGAGGTACTCTTGCCATAAGCTTATAGTGATACTTATGGGTTTATAATAAACCTCTGGTTTCAAATGTGCTAATTCTTAAGGACCCCTTTCAACCAGCAGCTCTTCTATTTTCTAATAAATCTTGCATCAATCTCTACTATGTGTGTCAAGGTTGCTAGCATGTGCTGATGGGTTTATGTACCCCCTGGGTCTTCTCTTCCAGTCTGGGTAGCACATTTCAGGCAGTGTATGTTTCTTCCATTGGTTGGTTGCTTCTCTATTCAGCCTTTCAGTTGTGTTGTAGCCAGTCAAAGCAGAGCAACACTGAGCAGAGCACAAATAATACTGTGTTGCTTTCCTTCATTGGGTGTCCTGCCAATTGTCAGCCAGTGTGGTCCAGTTGACAGAATGCTGGACTTTAACCTGAGTTCAGATCTCAGCTCAGCCATGAACTCAGTGGGTGGCCTTGAACATATAATTATAGTAGTGTGAAAGACCAAGGCTGGAAATCTGGAGTGAGAAAAGGCCTGGGTTACCCAGCTTTTGTAAGAGACGGTCATACATACAGGGGGTGATGAGCATTGCAGATTGTCATATTTGGAGAGTATTTCATTAGGGAAGGCTGAATTAAGGAGTATACCCAATCCCATTATTATTATATTGGGGTCTCAGGATTTACTGTTCAATGTGTTTCGTTTATAGAAAATAATTTCAATATATTTTTTAGCTTTATTCAAATAGAATGAATACTATTAAAAAAACTACAACAGGCTTCAGATTGCTTCCATTTGTTTATATATATGTATGTATGTATGTATGTATGTATATGTATATGTATATGTATATGTATATGTATATGTATATGTATATGTATATTATATATATATATATATATATATATATATAAATTTTTTATAATAAAAGTAACAACATATTATTACTGGTAGCTCACTTCTGTACCTAAATGCTTACAGATGAATGGTCGCCCACGAGAAGGAATATTTTAATGTGTTTTGCATAAAATTGCTAAGTTGGCAAATCAATTTGATAAATAATAGGTAATGGTGAGAATAGAATTCTGCCCTGCCTAAAACTATCCTCAGTGAGTTGCTGTGGCTAAACTTATATATTGTTGTGGTTGTCTGCTGAAAGCCCTTTAAGGACTATTAAACCATGACTTCCATCACCCCTAGCCAACATGGTCAATAATAAGGGAAGATGGGTATTGTAATTGAGTGGCACATGTCTCAAAGGTGCTTTTTTCAAGAGGCAACTGGACTTTCTGTTTTTTCTTTGGAGACATTTTGCTTCTCATCCAAGAAACTTCTTCAGCTCTGATTGAAGCTCTGAACTGAAGAAGCTTCTTGGATAAGAAGCGAAACATCTTCAAAGAAAAACAAAAGAAGCCAGTTGCCTCTTGAAAAAAACATATTTGGGACACCCATGACCTGGATGACTGAGAATCTCCATAGACATTGAGTGGCACATGGTGACTTATATTATTAATCCCTCCTAGGGTAAATATATATTCAAGAACTGCACCCCTTATATCAGCTTGACTAAGTTACAGTCATTTTCTTCTTTCAGAAAGGAATACTTTCTCTGTAGTCATTTAGTTTGAGAATTTTCAAAGAGCTGCTAAAAAGTCAGTATTTTTAAAGTTCACTTCTAATTGCATGTATGTTTGATGTTGGAGTTTAAACATCTCCCTTTGTAGTGTTTCTGACTCTCCAGTTAACCTTTATTAAAATGTCTAATCCTGTTTTAATGAGATTATAGTTCTGAAGTTTTTGAATTTGCAATAAAACGGGTTTTGTTAGGACCAAATTGCAGTTTAGCAAAGTTTATATAAATACAATAAATCTTTTCAATCTTTACTTCATATTGGTTAAGTGGAGCATAATGGTCAGATCCCCCACAGAGCTATTTAAGAAGTCCTGCCCAGACTGAACCCTAATCTGTGCTAAATTCAGCTGCAAACTCTTGGCACTTTTCAGCTGCCTCCGAACCTCTTGTCCTACAGTGAGAATTTATTTTCTTCACACACAGTTTGAGCTGCCATCTCCTCTCAGCTGGAGGAATGTTAGCTTCCATCAGATCCATAAACAATGATCTTCAGGAGAAGTTTGGAATCTTGTGAATCTGCTACATGTTCAGTTAGCATTACTATATCCACTATTGAAACTCATGTGGAAATCTCTCCCTCCCTCTCGCTCCTTCCTTCCCTCCCTCTTCCCCCTTTCTCTCTCTCACACACAATTTCAACTTTGCTGAAGTCAAAATTCAATATGTGGAACTGACAATTCTGCATTAATATTATAACCCTTTTTTCTTTTTCTTCTCCTTCTTCATCCTGTTCACCCTTTTCTTCCTTTTCTCATGAAAGGTCACAGTAGAAATGATATTTGGTAGTAGAAAGCATACTTTATGTATAAAAGTTCTGATATTTAATTCCTGGCATATCTTCTAATCTGAAAGCTGAACAGCTGTTGCCACTTATCATAAAATAGATCTAAAATAGTTTTTTATAGGAATATATATTTAATATATAGAATATATATGTGTATGTGTATGGAGATTTTATATATATAAATAAATAATATATAAAATCTCCATACATATACATATAGCAGGCAATCATAACTTCATTTTTAATGTGTGCCAGTGTGCCAGGAAAAAGTGACAATAAAGGTCGTATCTTATCTCTTCTCATCTCATTGGCAGTGTAAAATAAATCAATATAAAGCCAACATAGGGAACATAATAATTAGCATAATTATTAAGATAAATAAGATAAAATATTACAATAAAATGATAATATTTAAATTAGCAATAAAAGGATCTTCACTTAATGCCAAAAGTACTATCATGCATGGGAAAACCTCCATTTCTTATCCGGAGTGATGGTACAAAAAGGACATTCAAGGTTGCAAGAATGGCATATTGCCCTGAGGTCCTTCAACTTTGGACATTAGCAATACTTGCTTGCTCTTGTGGTTCCTGGTGACATTTTTTCTGTCCAGAAAGTCAGCTGACATTTATTTCACTTGGTGGAGGGCACTGAATTCCTCATAGGAATGAATTCTGTGTGCTGCCCTCTCCCCACTGCTACATAGGCCGTAGAAGAAAAGAGAACAATTGTTGCAATGGGAGTGAATCCAAAACCTATGCCACTGCTGAAAATTTGCCAAAAAGCTGATGGAAACAGTAGGTCTAGTTTGATGTCTCGGGTTTTCCCCAAGCATTTCTCTCTGATTCAACTTTACAAGTTCTCATATTCAACAACTTCCTATCTCAAGGCTCGGTTAGAGTTGTCTTTCTAAACGGTTGTATATATTTTTGTGGAGTTGTGTTACTATTTACTAAATATGTTATGACAAAGTATTTATGCTAGTCCAGAGCCCAGAGACCTTTGGAGACCTGGGCTCCAAAGGCATCTGACAGATGGGTGGTATTTCATACCCATGCAAGCTGCCAAGAACAGAAAGATGATTTGTGTGAATCACATGAGCAGAGCATGTTAGGCAATACTCCAAGGTTTATCTAGGCCACTGAATTCACTTTGTGGAGATTTCACATTAACCTATTCCTAAAAAAGCGAATGGCAGCAGGGTCCAGGTTGAGCTCTTGCAAATCAAAACAGATGTTAAGTATGAACTTCGCATTCTGCAAAATAGCAGAAATCCAAAAATTTATAATTTCTAAATGTTGAATCACAAAAGTTTGGAAGGGATCTTAGTCCAACTTTCTATTCAGTGCAGGAATCTGCTACTTCAGCATTCTGTGAAGATGACCATCCAGCCTCTATATAAACACATCCAGCTCCACTTCCTGAGACAAGTCTGTTCCACAACTGGACAACTTTAGGGAATTTTTCCACAGGTTCAACCAAATCAAAATCTGGTTCCTTCTAATTTAAACTAACTGCTTCTCGTTGTATTTCGAATAACCGAACAAATCTGAACAGTTCTGCCCCATCTTCCATATCTTTCTGATCATGTATTCATACAGTCCTTCTCCAGTTGAAACATACAAGTAATATACTTTCTTTTTCAGTTATTCCCTCTAAGTCCCTTGTTATCTTGGTTGCTTCACTCTGGACTTTCTATAGTTCTGTGATGGCGAACCTATGGCATCGCAGAGCCTTCTCCATCAGCATGTGAGCTGTCACACCAGCTCAGCTCTGCCGTGCATGTGCATGTGCCTCCCACTGGCCAGCTGGTTTTCGGTTCTCTGCCGTACATGTGGGGGACATGTGCGTGGAATGGGGGCATGTGTGGGGGCATGGCACAAATGTGCATGTGTGGGGATGCGTACGCATGTATGGAGGGTGCATGCACAATACATTTTGTGGATGCACACACGCTTTGGGCACTTGGTGCCGAAAAGGTTAGCTATCACTGCTCTAGTTTGCCAATGCTCTTTCTGAAATGCAATGCCTCAAACCCAACACAATGCTCTAGATTCTGACCAATAAAATATACAGAGGAATTATTACTTTTTAAAAATCTTAACATTACATCTCTGCTAATACTGTTCAATATTGCATTGAAGCAGAAACAGAATATAGTAGCATATTCAAGACTAAACACCTTTATAATTAGATGTATAGAGTAGATTTGATACTGCAAGGGGAAGGGGTGGAAAAAACCCACAGTGAGATCAATTAAACAAATGTAATAAGTTACAAACCCATTCTCCCTGTTCATATTTTCTGAAATGGATTGGGATTTTTTAATATATATTTTTCTGTTTCATCCGTGCTGCCTTGAGGTTAGTGATGAATTGTTCTGGATGGCTGAAATGTTGTTCCACTGTCTTGTGATTGTTTTGAACTGTAATATCTGGTCCATGTCTATTTATCACACATGTCTATTTATTTACAGAAGAATTTTTCATGTGTGCTGCTATCTAGTATGCCCCCTTTCATTTTATATCATGCATTTGATTTTTCTTATCAAAATGTAGACATTTACAGTTCTCTCTGTATCGTATTGGCCAAGATCATTGTCTTATCTTGTCAAGATCATCCTAGATCTCATTTCATTTTTATGACAAATTTATATGACGGGACATTGTCCTGTCCCCGAATCTATACTGCCTTGCTAAAAATGCTATTGCATTTTACTGCCTTGTAGTTAGAGGGAAAAATATTTAGGTCTCTGTGAAATGTGTGTTTAGGGTTAGGGTTTCACACATATTTCACACATTTAATAAAGAGGTGGTGTTCATAATGCATATTAAATAATGAATCTATCATATGAACCAATATATTATTTATTAGATGTGGGCAGTTGTAGTCACATGTCTTAGTAGTAAGTACAGCTGTCCTATAAGGATGTTACTTTCAGGTAAGTATATAAGTGCAGACCAAAATAAGCTCTATGACTGTTCAATTCCAATTAAGGCTTTGTTATCAAACTTTCTCCAAAATATCAACAATCTTAAGTTTTATGGTTGTGGGCAAAATATTCTTAAACTGAAATGAAATGATTCACACAAAGTGCAAGGCTATAAAATAGGAAATCTATACTGTCCTAAACAAATACAATTAGAAATAATTATGTATAACACATTCTTGGGATGTCCTGTGGCTAAATAGAGCTATTTATACATGCCTGATGCATTCATTAGGGGAATTCTCAGACAGCTGGAAAACAGCACTGAGTTGTGAGCAAAACATATGTATGAAAGAGAGGCATAAATGGAAGGGAGACCGAATCAAAGTCAATTCAGTGTCTGTGTAGACAAGATGTGCATGGGCAAGAATCAACTGTACTATTTTCTCCCATGTCTTTTTCTATGGAGCTCATCAGGTCACTGCCCTTTTGAACTAAACTGACAAAGAAAAATTGGCTTCATTAAGACTTTGCTTGTTTGTTACAAAATAGGCAGAACCCAGCTATGCTCTCCTGATTTTGAACAAGGGCTGGGAATGCTTATGAAGTCCCACTCTGTTCTTCCCCTTTGCACGTGTGGGACTACATTCCCCAGAATTCCTAGTCAGCCTAATCATTGATTGGGACTTCTGGAATTTGCAATCTTAACACATATGAGGCACCAGGTTGGGGCTAATTTAAGAATACCAACAGCTGAAGTTTTTGCTCATTGATGTGGATGATATTCACTCAGTTGGTCCACAAAGACCTCAATGAAATCAAAGACTTACTTTTCACAGGAAAAAGAAGTGCGATAGAATTAGGGGCACAGAGAGTTTCTTGGCAAACCTTGCTCACAATTTTTTTCTATCAAAGTGCATATAACAAAATATTCTTTTTGGCAAATATCTGGTGCAAGATTAAAAACACATACAGAGGCGGCATATTAAGGAAATGGAGAAGAGTGTTGGAAACATTTTTTCAGACACCGTCAAAGCTCAATTTCCCAGAAAGAATGCATTTTAAATGTGGTTTTTCTTTGTTTTTTTTCCTAGATTATAAAAGAGTGCCTGAAGCTACAATAATCAATGAAAATTACAGATGCTGGCCATCCTACCATCATAAAGGATGTCTCCTTTCTGTATTTGATGTAAATGAGGCTACAGAGATATGTGAGAGTCATTCGCAATGCAAAGCTTTTGTTTTCATCAACCAAACAACTTGGACAGGTAATGGTTGGCAATTAAATAAGTTTTTTAATCCTAAACTAGCAAAATGAGAATGTTTGAAAAAAAAAGATTTGGCATATTCAGGCATCCACATAAGAAAATAATTAATCTGTTCATGATATCACAATCATCTCTGTGATTATTGTACCTTGCTTTTAATATTCCTTGGAGACATTTGTTTATCAAGTAATTAGTAATCAGTTCACCAAGGATATAAATTCTACAAAGGGATTCCTTGTGACTAAAGCACATAGAATTGTCTGAAATAGGATCTATGAATGGCAAATTGTGCTTTCCATCACATTTTAGTTTGCAAAAAAATTGTTAACAGTATAATTCAAACTTATGAGGTGACCTTCTCTACTCTTTTTCTTGAGTTAGGCCTACAATTTTCAGAATTTCAGCTAGGATGGCCAATAGCTGTAGTGCCTTGCAATTCTGAGAAATATATTTTCAAAGCATTCTAGCAATCCATGTTGATCCAGGCTGCCTGAGGCTTTAGGGACAATGTATACAATAATAAGAGCAATAAAATTAATATCCAAAATGAAATAAAAATATCAGAAAAACTGAAACATTTTAAAATGGAAAAATAGTATATATATACTGTATATAGAAAAGATTAGCTCCAGACATAATTATAGAAGATATAAAACTATAAAAGCGAGTAAAACATTAATTGAGGGTGGGGGGGGAGGATTAGCCTGGGAGTCAAAATCAAGAAAGATCAGTGGTGGGTTTCAATTTTTTTTACTACTGGTTCTGTGGGCATAGCTTGGTGGGCGTGGCAGGGGAAGGATACTGTAAAATCTCCAGTCAGAGGTGGTATTTGCCAGTTCTCTGAACAACTCAAACTTTCTGCTATCGGTTCTCCAGAACTGGTCAGAACCTGCTGAATACCACCTCTGAGAAAGATAGCTCAAAAAATATCTTTATGGGGGGCATTTTATGGATAGGGACTGCTAATGAGGAGGATCATCTCCTCATTATATATATATCTGTCTTGGGAGTATCCAGAGGACAAGTTCTTGATGATGATAGGACTTGAGAGAAGGGATTTAGGGAAGCCACTCTCCTTTGTGTTAAGACTAAGCCTAGGCCCATCGGCTACAATAGTAATCCTGGAAAATACATTCCAATGCCTTTTCTTTATCAGTCTTGATGAGTTCCAAAGAGATTAGCATGTGTGTGCTGGATGACTGTTTCCAGCTGGATGCAATGTAAGCAGGATCTTCCTTTGACAAGTAGAGCATTCTGTTCTCATATCTCAGCACTCACAGATCCTAACAAATGTCACCTCACTCAAAGGGCAACCTTAGATGAACTCTGGAAACTTGACAAAGGTCACATCTGCTGCTATCAGTCCTGGCTGTTGAATTATATTATGAATGGTTTAATAGTAACTTTGAAATATGTTTCTGGCCTATGAAGCAATTTACAAGAAATTAACCCAATAGAACATTTAACAATAATTAAATTACATATATGCAGAGTCAAAAGTCATGCAAAATAATCAACTGCAGCTTAGATACCATATTATCCCCATTTGAACCTGAAAATTAGACTTCGTATTTTAGTATTATTTTTGGATGAACCTTCTTTTATTAGAGCATTTTATCGCAATTTGTTTGGAGGCGCAATACTTGAAAGATAAGGTGAGAAGAATGGACACACAGTTGTTAATTTCCTAATCTCTACCCTATATATATATATACAGTATATATAGCTAGATGGATAGATATGCATGTAGCAAGTTGTCCTGCCATGATTGGTCATATCACTAACTTTTGGGTTTGCACCAGGAATGGTGACAGTATTGCTATAATCAGTTCATAAATGCCATGCTCCTCCACTTATTACAGTGTAATGGATTATTTCAACCAAGAGCTCTTCAGTATATATGGCAACATTGCTTAGTTAATAATATTATGCTTTTATTGGATTAGATCAAAATAATCAGGACTTTAATGGTATTTGTATGTCAGGAACCCTGGAATGTGTAGTTCTCATAGAGCAACTATGTGAATACGTATCATTTATTTATATTTATTGAATCCAAAGGCATTTACGATAAACATGTCTCACACTTCTCTTATAGATGTGCAATGGCTAGTCTTCATAGGAAGGCTATTGCTTTCTTAGAAGTAACCACTGAGAACACTTTATGTACACTTATGATCCTAATATACCTTGCAAAAGAAGAGACTGTAATTGGATAACTGCGGAGTTGGTTTTAGAATAAAATTTCTTTATACTTCCTAATCAATAGTAGTGGTAATAGTAATAATAATACATTATTTATTGTCTGACAAGGTCGTCAACTTGTCTACTTCAAGATGGGATCTACTTCTATTGTGCCTGACCATGACAAGATAACATATGTGAAAGTGACCGGATGAAGCTTACGCATCCTATAAGCTCAATTCTGGGCAGGTTTACTCAGACTACATCTACGTGCCTTACTTCATAGTAAGTGCACCTCGGTTCAATTGGTCAATATGACAGCTGTTGGGTTGTTGTTGTTTTTGAATGAAAATGGCTTTTGTGTGCAAAGAAACTGAGAACGGGGAAGAAACTGCACTCAATCTATAAAGCGCAAAACAATTATAAGAAGAGACCTTTATTACCTGAAGGAATGTGCAATATAATGACATTTTAAAAATGTGACTCTATATGAAGAAGCAGAATGAAATCCAAAATGTGACACACTGCGTGGCTAGCCTTACAGTGTTAGAAAACAGCAGTATGCTTTTCTGACTAGAATTATACACCCTCTGTACAATTTTACTGAGGGTTGGCTGAAAATTCTTCCTTTTCATAAGAAGCTCAGGATTACTTATTCCAATATTTATGTGAGTAAGTATAATTAACGCAGCACTGTTAAATCTCTTGGAGATCAAACTTTCTGGAAGACAATCAGGACTTCTGTGATTGTATGAAACATTAAAAAGTGAACATCAGGGTGGTCCTTGAGTAAGGGATTTATTTGCTATCAGAATTGCCATCCATTTTTTAAAAATCTAGTGATTCTAGATTTTTCATTAAACCAGAAAAAATTGTCTATGAAAAAAAATATGCTCAATTGCACAGTTGGCAGTAAATATTATCTTAAAAGAAACATCGTTTCATTTTAACTGGGGAAGAAATCAGAGGTGCAGTTTAGTCCTTTCCGCCTTCAAATATGACCTTATGGGAGTATATTCTCTCTTGAGGATATCAAGTATTACTTCACCGACTTATAGCATATCACAAGCTAATACTGCAGCTCTGGTGACTCAATTTGCTGAATGGGGTTCTGAATTATTATTTTTTTGCTCAAGGCTCCCCTGGTAGCACCACTGGAAATAATGCCACTTTTAAAGTTGTATGTGTCATCTGGAGGTTTTAATCTGATTGTGTAAAAAGTGTGCACTGTGTATCTGCTGCTCAGTTACTTTAAAAATGATTAATATGCTTTTAATCAGTCTAACTGGTTAATTGACTGAATTTTGCAATGATAGTACCTATACAATCATCCTAGCCTATGTCTAGTTTAATAATAAGCTAGAAGTTGCTCCTTATTGTGATGAAGATGAGATAACTTTAGACTATAAGCCTATGAGTGTGAACATGCATTAGTAAATGGGCAGGGCAATTGCTATCTCCAGCTCACACTCTGAACTGAAGCCATTTACTTTCCCATATGGGTGAATGTATCTCATACAGCTTCAGAAATTAAAAGTCCATTAGACATGGGGGCTAACCATAATCCTCTTAATAGGGGAAAGGGAAGGGGTATTAATATGTTACAGAAGCTTCTGAAAATTGTAGTCTGTTTACTTTATCCCAAATGGACTTCATAGGAACCTCCAGCAATTGAGCCTATAAAGATCTATATAACTTCTCATGGGTTTCATTTTTGGTTAAATTGATCCAAGGTTACAGGAATGAATTGATCAAGTTATGCTTATCTAAATGCTAATTCAAAATTTTGTTTCTATATATTCCAGGGTCCTATTTTATCTAAAATGGAACACCAGAGATTTAAAAACAAAATTTTGAACTGGAATTTAGCTATGTATCATGACTTGATCAATTCATTCCTATAGCCTTGCATCAATATTTAGAGTTAATTAGTATTAATTTGACGCAAGCTCAAAAGTTTTGAAATCTGAGATGAAAGTACACACTTTATGTGCTGCACACATGTTTAATGAGTCTAGATTCTCATATTGATGCAATGAACTATCCAAGTTTCTGTCCAAGGGATACTACTGTGAAAGATATTCTCAGTTGCATTTGGTTCTAAAAATTGATGGAATTGTTCCCAGAGGAGGCAATAGAAATGATAACATCCTGCAATTAGACGTTCATAATACTAGGGAAAAACCTTATTTGGGGCTAGTCACTTTTGTTTATCCAAAAGCAGAAAGAAATGTATCCCCTGCCACATCAAAATGGCAACTACCACTAATGAAAGCTGTATTTTTTCCAGAGTATTAACAGAAAAAGATAAATTTCTGCTGGTGATTGTTTTGAATTCTTAAGCTGTTGCTTACTAGCTTTAAATAATAAAATGTTTTTAACAACAGCAAATGAATCCAAGCCTTAATAATGGAAAATTTGAAACAGGTGAAATTTACGGATGTAGATTATGCTTTCAATGAAAGCAAGCAAGACAATGTTAAACATGACAAATGTCATGCTGTTACCTAATTTGTACATCCAGGAAACTTTCTACTTTTGTTCTTAAATTGTTTATTTTTATATGAAAATAAAATGAAATGGATGAACTTCCTTCTGCTTTGGCTGTAACTTATTTATTTATTAAATTTATATGCAACACAATTCATTGTCAAATGACTCTGAGTGGCTTTTTGGGTCCCTTTTATTGCTGCTACTCTAAAATACTGTGCTATCATAAAGGAAAGATTCTAGAGATGGTCATTGTCAAACCAAACAGGAAGCAGAACCTTGTGGTCTTCTATATGAGAGGCATTTGTTCAATCTGTGGATTGTTTTAAAACATAAAAATGAATGTATAAAAGCTTGAAATGAGTTTCAAACTACAGAAGCAATACCTGAATAAAATACTGGTTCCCTTTCTAAACATCAGGCCCTAGAGATTGGACTCTTTTGGGATTTTTAACAAAACTTTCCCCAGTTTGTATATCTGCCTCTCTCTGTGATGGTGTTTATTCATGTTGCCCATCTCTGTGATCAAGCATGTTGTGACACAACAGCTAGAGAGATAGCAATTCAAATATTCCTTTAAAAATATTCCTTTACTCACAAAATTCTAATAGATACTATAGGAATCAAAACCAGGGGTGGGATTCTACCACTTCGCACCTATTCGCTAGAACCGGTTGTTAACATTCTAAGCAGTTTGGAGAACCAGTTGTTAGAAGAAATTACTGGCCTAATCCTGTAAGGAAGGCAGGAAGGAAACATTCTGGTGTTGCTTACAGAAACTGCCTCCCTGTTAACCCTTATTACATTCTTGGCAGGACTAGACATCCTGTCTCAGGAACTTCTCTGGAGTTTTTTCCCCCACTCCTTTGTTGGTACTTTGCTTGTGTGGAGTGACCATTCAAAGTTACAATGGCACTGAAAAAAGTGACTTATGACCATTTTTCACACTTACAACTGTTGAAGCATCCCCACAGTCATGAGAGGCCAGGCGAGGAGATGCGTGCCTCAATGTGAGTGATATTGACTTGGCCACGCCCAGCCAATAACATGACCACCAAGCCACGTCCACCCAGTCACATGACCACCAAGCCATGCCCACCAACTAAGCCACGCCCACAGAACTGGTTGTTAAAAAATTTGAATCCCACCCCTGATCAAAACTATAGGATTATTGTGAGGACAGGGTTGGAGGAAATTCAATTAAGTAGCTAAGATTCTTTTTTAGAAAAGTTATTCCACACACATATACATATCTGTACATACATTTTGCTTGCCTCTCCATTTATTGATCTCTCAAAAGATGCAATATTCCTATATCCAAATAGATTATATTTGATAACATAGGTCATGGTCCATTGCAGTTTGACATAAATTTATGGTTCCTCGCAGAATGGAACAACTTGCCTCAGCCAAATTATCACAGCCATCTCACCATGGCCATCTCACTCTGCCCAATTCACCATGGCCATCTTGCCATGCCAACGCAGCTTAGCCATCTCTCTGGGGCTATCTTGCCACAACCACAGACACTTACCATGGAACAACTAGCCATGGCTAACTTGCTGCGGGACAATTTCATGTGGGATAACTCAATGAGATAAATATTATTTGCCACTGTTACTTTGGCATTATTTCCATTCACAAAAATGGAAATAAAGTAGAAGAAGCAGTGGTGGATAACATTGATCACATTGAGTTATCCCACATGGAATTCTCCTGCAGTGAGTTGTTCCTACAGTGAGTTGGCCACTGCGAGTTGACCTGTGGCAAATTGCCCTGGTGAGATGGTCGTGGTGAGTTGTCCTAGACCCGCTGTTTCAAAATTATTTGATTATTAATATAAAGTCTTCATTAGGTCACACTTTTAAAAAATAATTATAGTTTCTTATAGAATATGAATAGAAACCTATAGAATAAAATAGTTTGTTATAGAATATGAATAGAAACATACAGAAAAGACTGCACAATCAAAACTTGTTCAAACTTCTTTAAATCTAGTTTTCAGCTCAAAGGAACAAATGTTCCTTTGCAATGAAAATAGAAGAATAAAGAAAGGCACACAATGATTTCTATAGAAGGTTAGGTTTTGCATTCATAGGATTTCTTATGAGAAATAAAGGAATCTTTTCATGTGCTGAAAATTTCAAGGGGTTTGTATATTTCCTTGGCTTCTTCAAACAACTAAGGTAGAAAAATGAAAGAAGCTACCAACTCTGCTCTAAACAATGTTTCTGGGGATAAAAAGAAGGAAAATTCTTCCAATCTGAAGAGAGAGATACTATTTACATAGCACAAAAGGAACTGTCAACTTCTGAAATGAACAATCTGCCAGGCAAATTTACCAAATGGGTTTGGAGAACTGAGATTTTAATTGCAATACAGACAACATTGGTCTTAAAAAATTTGAATCTTTTCAATTTTTAAAGTATTGAACGACAAAGGGTGGATTTTCAGTTGGTTGGGGTGGGGGGAGAAAGAAATTAGTAAGTAGGAAGAAATTTTGTTTAAAGATATTGGTCTTAAAATGTTCATGGTAATCTTTATATGTATGACACACTATATGTACTGTCACTGGTAATAGCAGCAAAAATAAAAAATCTTAATTTTCCATTTGTGCTCCAATGACATCTCATGAGACCGGAAGAAATAAAGAAGTTGTCAAATACTCTGTACCATAAAATAAATATTTATAACAAACATCCATTTAATAATGTACCATTCCTATTTGCCAAATAGATACATGGGTAAGTATATTGGAGACCAAAAATGAAAATGGCAGTGAAAAATAAGAGGCACAAGTATAAAAGTTTTATATATTCAATGCAATGATTTCTGACATACTCTTTTGGATACAACATGATGATCCAAGGATAGAATAGAATAGAATTCTTTATTGGCCAAGTGTGATTGGACACACAAGGAATTTGTCTTGGTGCAAATGCTTTCAGTGTACATAAAAGAAAAGATACATTCATCAAGAGTCAAGAATCATCAGGTACAACACTTAGGTTACAATAAGCAATCAAGTCATACTAGGAAACAGTCAATATAAATTGTAAGGATGCAAGTGACAAAGTTACAGTCACAAGTTGGAGGGGATGGGTGATAAGGAGCGATGAGAAGATTAATAGTAATAGTAATGCAGATTTTGTAAATAGTTGGATAGTATTGAGGGAATTATTTCTTTAGCAGAGTGATGGCGTTCAAGGAAAAACTGTCCTTGTGTCTAGTTGTTCTAGCGTGCAGTGCTCTATGCAGTGATCCCCAACCTTTTTGACGCCGCGGCCCGGTACCGGCATCAGCTGGGCGCCGCGGCCCGGTACCGGCATCAGCTGGGCGCCGCTATCTTTTTTTGATGAAAAAGTGCTTCCGGTGAC